GTGCTTAGATGAGCCAGCAGTTCTTTCTGGTCATCATGCGTGCCATTTCTAGACAAGATTCCTACATGATACATTGTTGACAGACAGAACAGGCTTTTGTCTTGTCTGAGGTTGGTTCCTAACACCAAAAGTGTTATCTCCGAGCATACACACACAAAAAAGTCAACAGATAATACCTCAAGGCATACTTCTGCCAAAATGGCAAAAAGAACACTGTGTTGAAGGAGAAAGGCCTTAAAATGAAAATACCTAGGATCTTCCCATCTGAATTTTGTGCAGAGCCTTATCCACGCTGTACCATGGAAGTGTCTGTAAATGCAGATATCTGCCACTGAACTGACACGAAGTGCTGACAACTTCTAAAATAGTACTATTTGAATTGAGTATGGATCATGCATCACTTTTAGGACTTGAGATTTATTTTCTAATACCTCTTATGCTGGATTTTTCCTTTGTAAAATGGGGGGTGCTATTGTTTGGGGAACTGATGATTTAACCTAAAGAGATCCTATCAGGACATTAAGGACTGCCAGTCACTGAGCATTACTTATGAGAGTTGGCTTGTATTTGTGGGTTTGTGAGGAAAATTTTCTCCAGAGAACAGTGAAGTTCTTCATGTAGAACTACCAAAGAGAAATACTTGGTTATGCCTGCATCTCAGTCACTATTCTATTGCTGTGAAATGACCAAGGCCAAGGCAACCCTTATCAAAGAAGGCATTTAATTAGGGACTTCTTACAGTTTCAGGGAGTTGGTCCATGATCATTCTGGCAGGAAGAGAAGCAACTGGAATGGTGCTGGGGCAGTAGATGAGAGCTTTACACCCTGATCCACAGGCAGCAGGCAGAGACACTAAGACTGGTGTGGGTTTTTGAAACCTCAACACCCACCCCTGGTGACACACCTCCTCCAACAAGGCCACACCCACTCCAACAAGTGCACACTTCCTAATTCTTCCCAAACAGTTCCACTCCCTGAGGACTAAGCATGCAAATATATGAGCCTATGGGGGCCACACTCTTTCAAACCACCACGCCTGCTGATGTCACTGTATTCTTAAGGGAAGTCCATCCTTGAAACAGCTGCTTCCCACATAGAACAGGGTACATATCTATGAGGCTGAGAAGTGGCTTTATTATTCTTCTAGATAGCTCTCTACAGAACCTTTCTCCACACTTTTGATGATGAAATCACAAGACTTGTTTTTTATTAGATGAAAATAACATTAAACACTTGATCTTGCTAAGAGCAGAATAGTTTTCTGGCTTATATACACTTTCACTTCATTCTTTCAGGGGGCTAAAGTGGACAACAAAATCAATTGTCCCAAGGTTACCTTGTACTATCACATGTTCAGGCATAAATATTAGTGTACTTTGACCCATGTCATCTACATTTTACACTCACAAATAACCCTATCACATCCAGTCCAACTGTTTTATGCCATTTATATTTTATAAAATATACCATAAATGACAAGCAAATAAATCAGCCAAACCTTATTCAAGCTTCATGGGACAATAGCTATCATTCAGTGTTTACTTCAAGTAGGATTTTAAAAAGATGTTACATTTAGTAATCAACTAACTGAGGAAATAAAGTAGAAAGAAAAATAGCTGAAACATCTCCTGATTGTTGTTCAACAAGGGAAATTTCAATGCACATAATTTCTGTCCTGTCCAGAGGATGATATTAATGTTTAATGGGCACTCATGCTGCTCGTCATCCTGGTGCTGTCCCCGAATTATGTCAGTGCCTTGAGGCACATTCAGTGGGGCTCAAGAACTCAACTGGAAAGCCAGGCATGGGGGCAGCAATCCACAGGCTAGGACAAGAAGTTTGCAGGCTTGAGTCCAGGCCAGGCTACAGAAAACTTGCCTCTAAAACCAATCTAATCTTAACAGGGATTTCAGAAATGGATTTCCTCTTCTCCTCCTCCCCTTCTTTCTTGGAATCCACAACTTTTATGTAGCATATTTTGATGTTTTCCCATGGTTCTTGAATGTTCTAGTCTGCTTTATCATCCCATTTCTGCTTCCAAGGCCCTCATACTGAAGGTGGTAGCCACTATGCCCAGATTTTTCCCCTTCATATTATTGTTATAAAAATGTATATATGAGTGCTTTGCTTGAAATATATATATATATACACATTCCTGATGCCCAAGTAGGTCAGAAGAAAGCATCAGATCCCAACTGATGGATGTTTGTAAACAACCATGTGGGTTCTGGGAACTGAACTTGGATCCTCTGCAAGAGCAACACATACTCTTAACCACTGAGAAATCTCTCCAGCCTGGATAGCTATATTTTTGACTAATGCAACTAACATGTCAGATTTTTTTTCCAAAAAAATAAACTATGAATTTAGAGTACAGGATGTCTATCATCCAACCCTTACACTGGCCTAAGAAGTAACTTCTATTCATTCTCCAGTATTTAGCACTTACTATGTCCACGTGCTACATACTCAGCTCCGGGTCGATAGCATCCTGTTAGTTACTGTCTCATTGCTATGAGAGACATAACTGACAGGAAGTAACTTCAGGGTGAAGGGTCCATCGTGACTCACAGCAGCAAGAGTTGCTGGACATGTGGTGGCCGGAGCACAAGAGACTGCTAACAGCTTGACTCTGCTTTATTCCATTTCGGATCCAGCCCATGGGACTACTGAACCATTCACTTATAGTGTTTTCTCCAATAAAAATTGTCTGGAAATGCCCTCAAATGCATGCCCAGAGATGTGTCTCCTAGGTGTTTAAAAACTCATCTAATTGACAACATAACCATCGCATTACTGCTGTTTCCATTTACAGCGGGGGAACTGGCGCAGTGAGATAAGTGGACTAGTCCACCTGAAAGGAAGGGGATGGTCTGCAGGGGAAAGAGCTGTGATGGACGTGTATGTGACATTTAAAACACTGCCTGCCATTGTGTGCAACCCCTTCAGTTTCTCACTTATTCTCTGCACAGTGCTGGAAAGTTGCTGTCATCAGTGTACTTTTACAGATGAGGGGATTGGTAGACATGGGGAAACAACTTTTTTAACTCATTTGTCCAGTTCATGACAGAGCTGGCAGTTACATCAACACACAGCTAAGTCAAAACCTCTGCCCTGACCAGGTCAGAGGCCCAGCACTACAGAACCACTGGGGAGGGCAAAGGGAAAGGATTATTGAACATAGCAAAATGGAGCGCAGATTTGAAGAAAAAAAACTCACAAATATTGCTCTTTAGTACAGCAAACCAAAGAAATCTTAGAACAGATATCTTAGAGATTGGTCTCTCCAGCCCAAGAACTGGCTTTTTAGAGCCCATTCCCATTCCCTAGGTATTCCATATCCCTAGGGATACCTTGCTCAGCCTCAATACAGGGGGTAGGGGCCTGGTCCTCCTCAACTTGACATGCCAGACTTTGTTGGCTCCCCATGGATGGGGGGAGGGTTTGGGTGGGAGGAAAGGTGAGGGAAGCAGGAGGGGAGGGAGAACTGTGGTTGGTATGGAAAATGAAAAAAAGACTTTTAAATAAATGTTTTTTAAAAAATTGGTCTCTTTATCACAGCCTATGGCACAATACCCACAGGAGAAGGATGGGATGGGGCTTTTCTCATATTTTTATAGCTACATTTATGTCATTTAAAAGGAGTTCAAACAGAGAACACATTGCTAAATTCGCTGCTGATAAAGACCTCCGTCCCCTATACCTCCTTTATGCTACAGCAGGTACCCCATGGCTACTGACACTGCATCACAAGTGCCAGGCCTGTTAATATGCAACAGTCCATTAAGAGAAATTATGAGATGTCCTCTCTGGAAGTTTCTAAACATCTTTTAAAGACAGTCCTTTCTCATCAAGAAATTCTCCTGGCTAATCTCTCCAAGGTTCTCATAACCTACACAGGATGCCAATCCCACAGATCTTACACAAACAAAGGGGTGTTTGTTAAAATAACATTAACGAAATTTGATTTCAGTTAAGAACCAGTATTGTAGGAAACAGTAAAGTTATGATTGTCTTTAAACCCCCAGCTCTGCTTAATTCTTTGACAATCATAAAATATCAGAAGAGCACGATGGTAGTAATAAGACCATGGAGAAATTTAAATTACATATAAGCTTTATAAAGCTTTAGGGACACACAGCTTTAGTATAATAAAAACAGCAAGCATTATTTTCTATATGCCATCATAATGAAATGATCTTCCTGAATAATTTAGCCCTCACCACTCTTTAGGTTAGTATGCCAACCCCATTTTGGCCCAGGTAAGAAACTGAAGCCTCCAAGTTAGGATAAGTGTTCAGGCTTGGAAGTTGGTCTGGTTCAAGTTTAAACATACAGCCTAACTCTAGAGCCCAAGCTCTTGGTCCCTGAGGTGTGCTTCCTCTGTATCACCAGTTTAGTAATTCAGATGGTACAGTGCTTGTGGTGTGGGCATAAGAGCCTGAGTGTGACCCTAAGGAGCTAGACAGCATGCTGTGTGCCCATCATCCCATCCTCAGGACCCTCACAGGAGCTGGACACTGTGCTGTGTGCCCATCATCCCATCCTCAGGACCCACACAAGAGATGGACACTGTGCTGTGTGCCTATCATCTAAGGCAGGAAAGCTGCAGATGGGAGTGTAGAACCTCTAGGGCTAACTGAATTTCTGAGTTCTGATGCATTTTCTCAAAAAAAAAAAAAAAAAGAAAAAAAAAAGTGGATAAATCAGATTTGGTAGTGTATACATTTGATCCTAGCACTTGTGAGTCAGAGGCAGGTGAATCTCTGTGAGTGTGAGAATGGCTTGGTCTACAGAGTGAGTTCCAGGACACACAGGGCTTGCGGACAGCAATAAACACATTCAAACATACTCAAGACGGCCTGTTGCTACCACTTGCGTGATACAGAATGATACAGAGGGAGGGTGTTCATACATTCATACACACTTGCACACGCACACATGCACAGACACACCTCACAGATATTTTGGATATTAGGTACTCAGGAAAGTCTATAACATGGTTTTCCAGGATAAGTTTATTAGTGTTTGCTTCTAAAAGCTTTCAACAGTAGGTCTGCTGCTAGTCCTGGGGAGAGGGCCCCGCTGAGCACCTTCCTCTCCATCAGAGGAATCTGTTCTTGGATGGTTGGATGGGTCTTGAAATGTTCTAAGATGTTTTCCTGAATGAGGTTCCACATCCAGACTTTCTGCTGCTTCTGTCTCTTGGTGGTCAACTCCCCGCTGGCCAGCATCACATGCTGAAACTCTCTCATAGTGTCCCACATTTCACTGACACCCTCTCCACTTCTGGCAGAAATGCGAATTACCTGTTGAGAAGGCAGAACCACAACTGTTATTTCTTGGGAAGTCTGAGATTTGCCAATGAATTCTTACAGTTTATGGAAACAGACAAATGACCAAAATGAGGTGTCACTGCTGTCAAAGCAAACATGCTGCCACACACTACAGCACATGCCTCAGTTTGCACAGCAGAAATAAGACGTCCATTTAAGGCCAAATTCTTTAGCCTAGAAATGTATTTTAACTTCGGATGGTCCCAGAAGATAGAAGGTGAGGGGGAATCCCAGAGAACTTGTGCGTGTCACAGGGTGAGCAGAGACAATGGTAGGGAGGGCTCCCTGAGGTCTGAGTGCCAGAGATGAAGCCACACTGAGGAAAAGCTCCATTCTCTGGACAGTCAGTGCAGGGCTGAGTCAGCACCCCCATGACAAGATGGCGTCACCCCCACAGGAGTCCTCAGAGAAGCCAGCAGTAAGAGAGGCCTGCTGCTCTCAAGTGACTACGGTTTATTCTTTACTAACATGGTGTCCTCCTACAGACAGGTGCCAGCCAACGGGACTGCATTGCTTCCTACAGTATTGCTCTTCATTTTCTGAACTTGTCAGAAATAATGGGAATGAAAGCACCACAGTACAAGCCTTTCTCTGCTACCCAAATCCTAGTTCTCATAGTCAACCCATGAAGCGCTCTGTAACTTCAGAGCACTCCCAAAGGGTTCACATCAATTGATGAACATTCTGCCTATTACCTCACACTAGATTTGGACATCCTGTGGTTGAAAGATTACATTTAAGATCAGCTGCAAACTCCGGCTCTGTCACAGTTTTCAGAGTGTAGTCTTTACATTCAAGCAAAGACTGATTCTATGTCTAGACAGAGACCTATTCCTCGGTCCTCAGGTGCACAGTTCACTCGGTGAAAAACAGAAGAACACAAGCCAACCTTTGGTCTCCAGACCCCTGAGCGGCTGCGGAGTAGCTTCAGTGCGCTCACGTACTCTGCTTGGATCCTGCGGGCTGGGACAACCAGGTCTCCATCAGATTTAGTTATAACAACCAGATCTGCCATCTCAATTATACCCCTTTTGATACCCTAAAGAGAACAGAACCACATTCACTCTCAGCGAGAATGAAGGCAGGACAACCAGTAGGGGCCATGCTTTCAGTGTCATGCACCCCACTGTCACTTTTCTTTATCTACCCCACCCCATTTTCCAGGAGTAACAATTACTTGACAGCCCTTGGAATTATGCAAGTCACCTGCAATATCCCCTCCCAATTCAGAGATAACTTGGTAAAATGTACTCAGACTTTGCGTAAATAGATGATGAAGACAAAACTTGATGGAGAGGTGGAAGGCAGCTCAATCCCCTCACTGAGACGAAGCTAGCCTCCCAGCTCACTGCGGGGAGTAAAGGTGGGGACCTAGGGTAAATTCTAGGCCATTCATCAGCCCATGTACAAGCAAGGTAAAATATTTGATCAGTAGCCTACAAAATAAGGTGACCGTGACATGTGACCACTGCCTAGACTGGATGACCAAAGTATGAGTGCCTGCAGCTGAGCCAGGGGACACCAGTGGGGGCCTATCACCGACGTGGCTCATGTTGTACCCAAAGAATGACAACATTAACAGAGTGTCTCAGTATAAGTCCCACAAAAGACCACTAAGCAGCATGATGGCCCCTCTCCTGGGAGCACCCCTCCTGGGAGCACCCCTCCTGGGAGACCTACTTCATAGGTCTCACGTCTCCTTAATAAAATTAACTTTCACTTGCTCATCCTCTTCCAGTCCTTACTCTTCATCAATATGAGACAACTCAGTCCACATCACTGTCTTGAGGTCGCTCTGCTGACTGGTGATCACCTAACACCTCAGTTCCCTTTTAAGCTGACCAGAAAAAAACCTTCCACATGATCAGGGTGTGTCTGCCTCCTCCCACCCACACTAAGTCCCACCCCTTGCACACAGAGACCCCCACACCTCCCACACAAACTTCTGTGTGTCTGTGTGTGTCCCAGTGCCTCTAACACACACACACACACACACACACACACACAGAGAGAGAGAGAGAGAGAGAGAGAGCGCACTTCTTCACTGGCATAGCCTTCGTCATAAACCTACAATTACAGAACTTTTCTGAATTTTATGAGTTATTCTAACAAATTATTGAACCTGAGAGGAGGTGGGACCTTCAGCTCTGTAGACAACTGCTCAGTGGCATAGGTGGCCTGACACAGCTAGTATCTGCAGTAAGGGAACACTGCGGAAGACCGTGTCTGTTAAGTCTGCACCAGCTCTAGTTGGCTAATGATGGAATGTTATACAATATGTAAGCTACACAACGATATTGCTTGAGTTACTTTTGAACCAGGATGCTGTGGTCTCTTTGGGACAAAACCCTCCATTTATTCCAGTCACTTCCAAGCTATATATGCAAAAGTTACACTACCTTCGATTTAACACAACAATTTATGCTTCACATTGTACTTTCAGAGATATATTCCAGGAGGGCTGGGCCACCAAAATCATTACCTGCAGTTCATCCCCTCCTGCCGGTGGCAGCAATAAAACAAACATATCAACCATATCAGCAACAGCGAACTCCGACTGCCCCACACCTGTAATTTCAAGTAACAACTTTAAAAAAGTTAGCAATAACATTTCTGTTGTCAAATTTACTGGCTCATTTCCATTCTACTTCATTCGACTCCTCATCTTGGCCACATATTCCCCTTTAAAGTCCTGTTGCTATAACTAAACACCCAGATTTGATAAAGACAGAAACGTATTTGCTCAGAGTTCCACAGGCTGGCAAATGCAAGTGCATAGAGCCAGAGTCTATGCAGACAGCATCATTTGGAAAGAGCAAGCATGCTGATGCAGGTGTCTCTTCTCCTGGAAAGTCAGGGATGCCATCACGGGAACAACATGCTCGGTGCCTTATTTAAGCCTAACTACTTCCCAAAGGCCCCACCTCCAAGCACTGTAGGCATGAGTCTGGATTAATCTGCCAGTTCACCCTTTCTTTTCTCACTACACCAATGTTTTGGATGAAGACTTTATAGAAGAGGTTCTCAACTTGTGGGCTGTGACACCTTTGGAGGTCAAATGACCCTTTCACACGGAGTCTCCTGGACCATTGGAAAACAGAGATATTTACAATTCATAATAGTAACAAAACTATAGTTCTGAAGCGGCAACGAGATGATTTTTTGATTTGGGGTCACCACATGAGGAACTGTATTAAGGGTCACAGCATTAGGAGGGCCGAGACTTCCTCTCCTACTCTTAAAGCTTTCTCTTAGCTTCTCTTTCATCAGTAAGTGGCCTGAACACCGTGACACCAGTCTGAAACAATGTCTGCTAATATTTTCATCTCTTTTTGCCTTTCAACCTTATTTCCACTCTGCATGTCCCCAATTCTCTCTTCTTTAAACAGGCTTGGAGAGACCTCTCAATTGCAGCCAAGTATCACTGAAGGGTCTCATAAAAAGCCATTCCCCGGGAGCTGGAGAGAGCTCAGTGGTTAAGAGTACTTGATGCTTTTGCAGAGGACCTGGTTTGGGTCTTAACACCACCCAGTGGCTCCCAACTCCACTTCCAAAGGCTATAGCAGCTTCTCATGGCCTCTATGGGCACCAGGAACCCATGTGGAGGCATAGACATGCATGCAGGCAAAACTCAAACACATTTAAAAAGTCGTCTCCTATGATTCAGTCAGTTTCCTCCTTTTGTTTTCAGTGTCAAAAATCATGGAGGAAACAAAGGAAACACTTCCTAGCAAATGCCACCCACAGTGTATCTGGCAGCACCCTCCATCCACCCACTTTCCTGAACTCTCACCCCTTGAAACCAAAACAGGAACAAGCATCTCACAGCTCCCTCAACCATCACCATATCTCTCGTTTTCTCTTTATGGGCAAATTTCTGGAAACCCTCAACTGATGCTCACTGTCCATGTTTTGGCCCACATTTGTAGACTTCTTGTTCTATTTGCTCATTTCCTCTCCTCCCCCTAGAGCATCAGTGTAGCAGGTCAGGTCCCCTTTCAGGCAGGTAAGGTCAACAGATGGAGCTTCCAGGTGATGTCTTTGAAGAGGGCTGGTCCTACTTTCTATTTCCTATTCCCTCTTCTTCCTTCTATCTAGAACCTAGCCACCTTCCAGTCATGAGCACCCTTGTGCATGAGCACCCTTGAGGATAGTGTGAAGGATGGAGAGAGACATCATGGGGGACTGAAGGTATGGAGCTGCAATTGCTCTGAACACCCCCCCCAGGGTTTTTTCAAGACAGCAACACCCCCGTTACCTGAGTCACTGTCACTGCAAGTCTCTAGGACAAGCAGCAAATTGCAACTCTGAGAGAACATGTTTGACTTCTATATTGCCCTCCCTACGCAAACTTAAACAGTGGACTTCTAAGGCTGCTTCTGACTACTGTTAAGGACTAAGTCAGGCCTGTTGCCCCCTCAGGTCACATGTTGAAAACCCAACTCTCAGTGTGACCACAGATGGAGACCGGTTCTAAGGAGTTAGATGAGGTCATGAGGATGCGGTGCTAATTCTATGGGATTGGTGCCCTGTGGGAAGAGGAGACACCAGGGTGCACATGCCTGAGAAACAAATGCCTCATGTGAGAGCACAGTATGAAGGCAGCCACCTGCAAACAGCTTCCACAACTGTAAGGTGATGTCTATGGTCTAAGTCACCTAGAAGATATTCATGACAATAAACCTAGCAAACCAACATGGCTAGTTTCTATTTTATCCCCTACTTTCCTTCAATTAACCAAAACCAAATCTATAGCTTAGTACAAAACTACAAGCCATGTTGTTAACTGTATGTACTGACCAGTCTTCCTAAAACCACATCACTTGGACACCTAGAAAGCGTGTCCCACTAATGTACTGACTCTTGGCCTCATATTCTTCTGCCTTCTAATCATTCTTCTACAGTGTTTTCTGTTGCTCCAGTCCTCCTTCCTCAATCTCTTACATCAACAATAAAGTCCTGCCAATTTACTGCTTTTATCCATCTCCTCCAGCTTCTCTAGCCCTGCTTACTTGAGGTAGAGCCTGTGTTTCCTTCCTTTGATTGACTGCATGGTCTAACTGCTTCACACTCCCACTCTAACCCTTCTAACCATTTCTCAGTCGGCTGCAGGGTTCCCTCCGAGCCCACATGTGGCTTGCCTTGTTCTGACTTCCCACTCCCTTCAGAGAAAAGGGAACTCTTTGGCAGGGCACACAAGGAAAACCTAACCCTGGCCACTGTTCTGAGCTCCTCTCTCTGCCCTCAGTGTCTGCCCAGTGCCCTTTGCCCGTACTTTACACCCACTTTCCCTCCCTCTTCACTGATTCCCCCAAGCACTGGTTTGGGTTGTTTCATACACATTCACCAGAGTGAACCAAAAGATCGTTCCTCCGTAGGAATGTGAACTGGAGTTTTCCATTGAGTATTTTCACTGCATAGAATTATGTGCTAAGGTTGAAACAGACAGCCTTAGAATCCCAAGTTCCCAGCTGCCCAGACTTACTTAGTGAATACTCTGGACATGAAGTGTGCTTAAGTAGTGCAGTGATTTGCTTCCAAAGGTCATTCTAGTACTTACTATCCTCTGCACACAGACCATGTCAATTTATGTGTCAGCTATGTAGACTGTCACCTTTTATATGGAAGGCTCTTGTGGGTGGGGAGCACAGCCCATGTACTCACATTGCCTGCAGGGCAATAGCTTGTATATAATTCCATTTCATACCCACTGAATAAACTAAGTGAAATCAGTTGTTATTCATCTTTAAATAGCACGTGCCTCCCTAGTGCAGTAGGCAGCATGTCGGTCTCATCCTTAAATAGCATTCATTATAATGGTATATTATTTTTATGAAATAGACTATCTTACTCACCTACAGTTTCAATAAGAATGATGTCATATCCCCCTCCTTCACACAACAGAATAGCTTCATTTGTGGTCCTTGTTACACCTCCTAAAGTCCCACTGGTAGGAGATGGCCTGATGTATGCATTCATATCTCTTGATAGCTCAATCATCCGGGTTTTATCACCTAAGAGGGATCCTTAAACACATAGTTACATTTTACAATCATGAAAGAGTTGTAAGGACTAATAACCAATCAGCAAACTGCAAGGGGACCTGACTTATGACCGTTCTTCCCAATATTTCACCATCACTGAGTTCTCCTCCAACTCACTGTCTAGCCCCCCAAACTGACTGGGGGTTCATATAAGTCCCCAAGCTCCCCCAAACACCCATCCTTCTTTCCCTTCCTTGAGCAATGTCAGCATCTCAGGACCAAGGCAACCCTTTGGAACAGCAGTGTGGTCTCTTCGAGTCATGTCCACATTGGTGTGATTGCCTCTTTGCTGGGGTCCTACCAGAGTATCTAGTATGTCCTCTTGTCACTAATTTACAAGTGGTCAAATCAGCTCCAAGAGCTATTGTTCCTGGCCACTTCATTTTGGGGTGTTATTTTTATTTCCCTGAACTACTCCTCTCCTCATAAATGGGACAGTAAGACATGGTGACACTCAAATGAGATCATGCAGGAATGAAACACATGCTTCAGAGCCTGTTAACAAAACAGACCCTGTCTATCTTACACACACCAGCATAGGAAACAGTAAAGACTGAGATGTTCTTAGAGGAATCCCCCAGTCCTTTCTTGTTCTGATTCTAGAGCATATGCCTCCCATGTACCTCAACTACCCCGTTCACTTCACACCAGACTCTTTCCTATCTTTCTCTGCCTGAACTCATCCATGTGGCTACATTATTAGCCTAGGGAGCCAGCACAATGAACACAGCATATAACATTACTCTTCCACAGAGTTCTTGTGGGTGAACCACACTGTTAGCCGCAGACCCCAGGTTGATCTCAAGGCCATCACAGGAGGGGTTATAAATCTCTAGCACAAGGGCAGACCCAGGAACTAATGCTGTTTAGTGCTGTTTTCCAATTATATTTATATTTACATAGACCAGGAATTATATTTATAATATTCTATTTACCTACATGTATTTTTTCTTTGGAATTACACACACTTTTTAAAAACCCTAAGAATAGGACTCCTCACTTTCAGTTTGAGTGTGGTTAAGAACCACAGCTTGTAGAAATGAGTCTGACCCTAAGAAAACCGGGCCTGATGGTACATGTTTATTATCCTGGAGTTGGAAAGGCAGGGACAGGTAGATTATTGGAGCCTACTGACCAGACGACAATGCCTACTTGGTGGGTTCTGAGAGAGTGAGAGATTGTCTCAAAAAACAAAATGGGCAGCACCCAAGGAATGACATTGAGGCTGTCTTTTGACTTTCACACATATAGCTACACACATATACATAGAAAATAAAGGTTAGGAGCTACATAGCTATACACTTTTATTACAGGATATAACATCAGTTTTGCTATTAATTACTATTTCAAGCTATTGTTTGCTTTTTCTGTGGCAAATAATCTAATCCATGAAAATGGAGAAGAAATGGCCTTCTCACTTGAATGAAAATTAGGATTATTTATGAAAGCTCTTCATTAACACACTTCATAAACTTTCATTGAGCAAAGTTCTTAAACAAATTGACATGAATTTGGAACTTGAGTAGAATTTCATTTATAGCTAAACTTTTTATTACAGTGAACAAAATCCTTTGATTGCTCTGAGCCAGCCATATTTGTCAGTAAAAGGTATCAAGAATTGTTATCTACTTCTCTACTGACCTAAGGTCTTTCAACTATTACTTCCAGCACAATACCAGAGTGTACAAACCAAGTGCTTTCACTAAGCACCTAGTATTTACCGCTCAGAGTCCATGCTTGTGTTGACATCTCACTCCTAAGACATCACCACCCTGAAGCATGGTCCCTGCTTTGCCCATGCACCTCCTCCAGAAGGTATGTCGCCCATACCCATGCAGTGAATAACTGTAATCTGAGCAGCTTAACCCACAAAGAGAAGAAGGGGGAATGTTACTGAGTATTTACAGCAAAGGCTTCATATGTTTTCTTTAAATGGTCCTTAGGGAACCAAGTTTAGATTCATTTTATCTCTGATAAGCTGCAAATTAAATGCTGAGTGATTACATGACTTCACATCAACAAGTAATTGCCAAACCCTATGAGTACAGTGTGCTCTATAAAGTGCTGTGAACGCTGAGTGCAGTGTGCTCTGCAGTGCTGTGAACACTGTGGGTACAGTGTGCTCTGCAGTGCTGTGAACACAGAGTGCAGTGTGCTCTGCAGTGCTGTGAACTCTGAGTGCAGTGTGCTCTGCAGAATGCTATAGGAGGATAGCAATATGGTACACGGCCCTTAAAGAGTTTTCTGTCTCACTGGGCAAATGACAGGTGACAAAGCTACGAACAATTCTATGATTTTTCTCAAGCTTAATTGAAGAGATGATACAACACTACGAAGATAAAATTGAGAAGTAAGGCCCATTGGAGAAACAGACTGTGACGAGTGAGTGATCCTGGGCATGATCACCAAGGGGCTGAGGTGTGTATGCCATTTGATTAGTCCTCTGACCCCACATGAGTATCCTCTAAGCTACCCACAAGCTGCCCTCCTCTGTGGAATTTAGCATTTCCAAGGTAACTCCTGTGTCATAGTCCGATGGGAAAGGCATCTTGGCAGTGGGAAGCCAAGAATATCACAGTTACAGCACACAACAACCCTCACACAAGAGATTTATTAGGAGGGAAAACCCAGGAGGTTGCTACCTCTGCTCCAGGGAGAAGCAGCATAAGATGGGGTTCATGTAGCATTTGGGGGCAGGGGAGCTTTCTTGGCTCCCTGTTATTGGAGGGATAATGGCCTGATCTTGGGGCAAGATCAGGGGTTGGTGGTATTTTTTTTCTGTAGGGTGGGGCCTGACCATGGAGGGTGAGGAATGGGGGGTAGGGTGTGAGAAACAGCCTTTACAGGCATTAGGGCTGGTAGAGAAGGGGGGGGGGGCTAGCTACTGGAGCTCCTCAGGTTGGGGAGGGGTCAGGCCTGGCCACCAGAGTAGTCTGGGAGTAGAGCAGCTGGAGGCCTCCACTCCCAGACTACTCTAACAGCCCTAATGAGAAAGGCATCCCCCACCTCCCTACAGCAGAACAGGAAGGGTTCCTTTCATGGGGTCAAATTCAGCTGGCAGTTAGCAGTCACCTAACTGCCAGTTCCCACTAACCTGTAACAGGCCCCACTAGCTCTACGGATAAAAATGTCAGCCATACTCACCACCACTGGTGCAAGAAGATGGGTCCACGGCTAGCACAGATAATCTGTGCCCTCTCTCAGTCAGCATTTTCCCAAAATATTCTATAAAGGTTGACTTTCCTGCACCAGGAGGCCCGGACAATCCTATAGTGAGATAATGAAGTTAGCACCATGAGTAAATTGGTGAATAAAACATTAGCTTACCTTCTGTTTCCTCTAATTTATGAAAATCATCACTGGCATATTTTAAAATGCCTTAAAGCAGTCAGTGGAAAATCCATCTCTTTATCAGAAAGGGAAACACTTCCAAGTTCCGTGTTTATCCGAGTTCACTTCCCCCGCAATGCAGGTCTTTGGGGACACTCTTCATTGCTTGTGTTTCAGTGTGTATGACTTGTATACCTGCGCTCCTCTCATCGCCACTTCTACCTCTGACCACTGGAAAAATAATCCATTACTCCAGAAGCTGTCAGTAATTGAGGAAGTAACTTTCTCTACAAACATCTTTCCTTTGTTTCACTCAGAACTTAAGGAAATATCTGGTAAAAGGAAATCTGGAAAAAACTGGTGGAGTTCAGGAAGGCAGGAAAGCCCCTATTTAGAGTGAGTCAAGCATGGCAGGTAACGGGCAAAGCCTGAGCTGTCTGTCGGTGGGGCTCACCCCAGTGCTGCTTCTGATCAGTTCTGTGGTCTGCAGGGTGACGCTCAGCCCTGCTAGAGTCATACCCTCCTCAGGACCGGAGCTGCTGCAACAGCAGTTTTCTGCAGCTTGTGTTAAGGGTTAGAGGAGATAACACAGAATACGTGTGTCACATACACTGCATGGCCTGAGAGGAGCACCTGCCCAATGCAGAACATTAGTCATGGGCATTCGACGATCTTCAAGAGTGCACACACGGTAAGGCAGGCTTAGGTCCTTACAGCTCATGGTAGGTTTCCAACTCAAGAGCCTTTACAGGTCTGAATAAACTCGCTTTGCTTTTATTTATGATGATGGTAAAATAATTGAAGACTTGAGTTTATCAGGACTACACTCAGAGTAGAATGCCCAGAAGGCCCTGAGAAGGTGTGTGTGGCCTGCTAAGTAGACACTGGGTTTTCTCTCTTCAAGGGTTCTCTAAGGCCTACTGGGTTTCTCCTTGGGGTGTGCTTTTCTGTCTACAATATATAGACTATCAAGACCCAGTGCAGTACTCTCAAAATGAGTCCCTCCTTGAGGGTAGAGAAAGGAATGTGGAAGTAGGAGCAGGTATCCAAATGTTCAAGAAATTTCCACCTGGCTTCACTAAACAATAGAAAAAGAAAACCGACCTACTCGAAACGTGAGGGGCTTTCCTTGGTTGAGCCGCTCCTGCTCTCGGTGGTGTGCTAGGACTCTCTGAAGAAGTACCTGAGCCAGCTCTTTCTTCCGAGAATGAGTGGATTCCACCAGAGTTATGGCCTCCGCTAAGCAAGCTCTTTGCCCGCTGACTAAACCCATATAAAGTTTATCCACAAATCTTTGTTCTTTATCAGAAAGTCCTTCTGTATGGTCCTTCAAGGTTGCCTGGATACATAATGCTCTCCTCGGGCCACCAGGCAGTAGCATCCACTTAGTACAATGGTGTCCAGAGGGGATCCACAGTGGAGCACTCGGGATTCGGGATGCAGACTGCTGCCCTGAGGTCTGGATGCAGTGAAGCCATGGGGAAGGCACCCGGAGGCTGTTTACTAGATGCTGACGAGGGTGCAGTAGCATTGCAGGGACACTCATTTTGTTTGTAACTGGACACTTTCTGACACTGGTTTATGAACTCCCTAGAAGGGAAAAAAATGTTTTGAATCCAACAGACAATTAAAACACTGAAGTAGCAAAACTGTTTCTCCTTCATTCTAAGAAAAGAATAATTGGGGTTCTCAATAATTTATGTGGTAACTAATTTTGGTTGTCAGCTTGACCACATTTGGAATCAACTAAAACCCAGGCTGCAGAGCATGCCTGGGAGACACTTTCTTAATCAGTTTATTGGAAGCCGGAAGACCCGCCCTAAATCTGGGCCACACTTCCTGGTGGCAGCCCACATAGATGTAGAAAAAGGAAACTTAGCTTTTGTCTGTTTGCCCTCACTCTCACTGGTAAATTCACCTAATCTGCTGTGGAGCTGTACTTTTGCTGTATTAGAACCAACTTCTTTGGGGTTTAAACAGACTGCAGATCAGCAGCTCTCCAGGAATCCCCCCACGACTCCAGCTCCAGACTGGAACAGACATCCAGGCTGCAGGACAGAGAAAACTTTCTAGTTTTCTCCACAGTCTCTGCTCTACCCCAGGCTATTGGCTTAGGATCTACCCAGGCTTCCCTTAATAAACCTTTGCCTCCCTAAGCTGCTTTTGGTCTTGGTTGTTTTATCACCGCAGAAACCTAACTAGGACACTAAAATTTAGGAGAGGCCTCCTTCTTTGGCCACAGTTAGAATAACCCAAAATAATTCAGAATAACCAAGAACCTGAAACTAATTTATTGTAAGATAGAATTTACATTAAAATTGCCCTGTAAACAAAACTAACACAAGGTCATGTTAAATGGGCTTGCTACCTAAACCTAGCACCCAGAGTTCCATCCCTGGGACCCACAAAAGAATTTGGAACAGACTTCCAAAAGTTCCTACCTCTACATACATGCTATGACATGTTCATGAGTGTGTATGCACACACAACAGTAATAATACTAGTAATAATAATAAGTAACAAATGTAAAAAACAATTTACAAATTCTCATTAGAGTAGATATTTTATGCCATTTTTTTTCTTGCATTCATCTTAATGATTTCTTCAGGTCAACATACCCGATTCTGAGGCATGGACAAAAGATTCCTTCAGAAGATTCCCTCTCCTGCTGACCTCCTATTCATTCTCCACATAAGGAAAGTGATTAGGAGTGCAGCACTTGAGGTACAAGTATAGGTGTGCATGTACTCAAAGAAACTCCCTGAATAATCTGGCTTAAGTGCACAATCAACAACAATAAGCCTTAATGTGAAGTAAACTGCGTAGGCCATGTAGCGACCAGACCAGTGTATCTAGAAGATGGTCACAAGCACCTGGTGCCTCTTCTGAGTGCCTCTTCCCAGCCTTGCCCCAGCCTTGGAGGTGAGCATATTAAGGTTTGAACCTCCACAGAACTAGGTAAAGTCCTTTCTAGATATACTGAGAATTTCAAAACAACTTCCCATTATATCAAAGAAAACTGATGTGTGTTCAGTCAGAATGGGAAAAAAGTTATGAGCCATGGCCACTCACTTTTGCTGTCATGACTTTGAGCAAGTCACTTAACCATTCTGTGCTTCAATTTCCTCTGAGTAAAAGAACAGTTGAGAGCAGGTGGTTGTAAGGGTTAAAGGCTCAGTCCCTGTGAAAAGCCTGGAGCAGTCAGCATCAGTCTATGTTGTCACTATCAGTTTGTAACACTGTAGTACCAGGTCACACACCCACCTTCCAGAAGCTAGGAGTTGCAGACAGACATAACCTGCCCAGTTTTGAGTCTGAGCTGTTTGTAAATGTTGGTTTCCCTATACCTTGTGGCACAGTGTTACTTTACTGCTCCTAGATTTGTTTTCTAAATGATACTTCAAGATCAATGAACATGAAATTCATTTCAGTTAATAATAAACATTCTACTACGCACAAAGAAGAAGTGGGTTAAGGTTTTTAACTGGCAGAGTTAGAGTTGCTCTAATTTTTCAAGGCAGTATTTTTCTCTATTTTGGGGAAGGTTGTGATGGCTGTTCTTGGTTGTCAACTTGACTACATTTGAAATTGACTAAAATGCCAATGACTGAGCACATCTGTGAGGGATTTTTCTTAATTAAACCATTTGAAGGGGGGAGATTAGCATTTAACCCAGATCTTTTGAGGTGGGAAGACCCACCTCTAGTCTGGGCCACATCTTCTGCTGGCAGCCTGTATAAAGGACATGGAAGAAGTGTGCTCTCTCCTTCTTTACTGTCTGGCTCTCACCTCCCTAGCAAATCTGTTCCTTCATCAGCATCAGAGCCTACTTCTTCAATATATACTGAAGACCAGCCTCATGGACCTTCTGTTCATAGGGAACTATTGTTGGATTAGCTGGAAGCCATTCTAGTAAATCATATAATATTCATCCTATTTGTCCTATAAGTTCTATTACTATATAGACTCATGACTAATACAAAGGTATTCTAACTTCTGTTTAAGTAAAATTAGTCTTATTCTAAAAGGACAATTTATTGTTGAGATTATAATATGACTGCATCATTTCCCCTTTTCCTTTCCTCACTCCCCATCTACCTGCCCTTGCTCTTTTTCAAATACGTGTGTGTGTGTGTGTGTGTGTGTGTGTGTGTGTGTGTGTGTGTTCATTACTAAGTATAATCTGCTCAGTTTATACATCACTACTTGTATGTATGTTCTCAGGGCTGACCATCTGGTATTGATAACCATTGCTGTGCTCTTCCCTGGGGAAGCCTATTTCTCCCACTCTCAGCATTTCTTAGTTGCCTGTAGTTCAAGACTATGTGGCCCTTCCCTGTCCACTTCAGCATGTCTATTGTTATTGTCCTTGATCAGCTCACGTTTAGGCACTCATATTGGTGGGATCTCATGTGTGTAACTTTTCTAAGAGACACAGCCTCACAGTAAAAACCCTGATAAAAAGACACAGTTTTTATGGGTAAAAAATATTAAACATCCATCACTACCCTTCACATACTTAAAAATACACAAAAAATGTAGGGGTTAGAAAGAGGACTCAGTAGTTAAGATCACATGCTGCTCATACAAAGAACCCAAGTTTGCTTCCTAACATCTGAATCAGGTAGCTCACAGCTACTGCAATTTCAGCTACAGGGGCTCTGATGCCCTCTGCTGGCCTTGCTGTGCACCTGCACTCACTGGCACATACCCACACAACAAGTAATTTAAAAATAAGTATTTTGGGGCTGGAGAGATGGCTCAATGGTTAAGAGCAGCACTGACTGTTCTTCTAGAGGACCTGGGTTTAATTCCCAGCACCTACATGGTTATCTCACAACTGTCTGTAAACTCCATTTCCAGGGGACATAACTCCCCTCATACAGATATACATGCAGGCAAAACATCAATGCCCATAAAATAAAACTTTTAAAAAGAAAGAAAACAGATTTTTAAACAAATATTTTAGGGGCTGGAGAGAACCAATTGATCATCCAGAGGACTTGGGTTCAATCCCCAGAACCCACAAGGCAGCTCAAGTGTCTATAACTCCTATGCCAGTTATCTAATATTCCCTTCTGGCCGCCAGGAACACTGCAAACAAGTGTGTAGACATACATGCCAGCTAAACAACCACACTAATAAAATAATCTTTTTTTTTAAAGCTAAGAGGGACTACCTCAGCAGGCCTTTGTCAGCATACTTCCAAGTGCAACTCTTACCAGCACTGCACCAGTACCACTAGACTGCAGAGTCATGGGCAAGAGCTGTATTTTCATCCCCCCATTCCTGAGCACATACTGCTCCCCAGGCCCATGACAGGTTATCAGAATAATGGTGAAGCATGGCTGGTGACACAATGGTGTTAGGTGTTCCAGCCTAAATCTGACCTGTCCCCATGGGCTCCCATTGGCCCCCAACTGGTGAGAGTTTACTTAAAGAAGCTGTAGAACCATTAAGAGGCAGGACCTGGCTGACACAAGTAGTTTACTATAGGGGAACCTGTGACAGTTCTGTTTGTATCTGGTCCAAGCTCTGGGTTTTCTGTATGCCTGGGTAATATGAGGAGCCTCACCACCTGTTCTTGCCACTATTGTCCTCACTATAATGGCCTGAAATCCTCCAAGACCATGAGCCAAAATAAGGCTTTCCTCCCTTATGTCATTTCTTCCAGGTATTTAGGTCAGTGACCAGAAGTGATTCACAGTTATCAGTCTTAACCTTATATTTAGTTCCTCACAGCAGTTTTAACAAGCTACTATAATGGAATTGACTGCATAATTCCAACAAAAAGGTTGTTTTTCCAAGTAGGGTCACTTTTCTGGGTTTGGAGATTAGGATGTGGACATACCCTGTGGAGGTTCCTATTTAACCTACTGTACCTTTCCAGGAAGGATGTTTCCTTATCATCAATGTCATAGCCCTAGTACTTCAAAAGACCACAATATAAGACATGCCACATGCAAACAAACAGCAAACAGCCCAACCCACAAAGTGAATAGTCATCAAGATTACAGGAGCCAACTCTCCCTGAGGAGCTCAAGTCTTCGATTAGTCACTGTCAGAACTAAGTAGGAAGGAAGGAAGGAAGGAAGGAAGGAAGGAAGGAAGGAAGGAAGGGAAGAAGGAAGGAAGGGGCTAAAGAATGAGATAGGTTTTCCTGGCTGAGGCCTTAAATGTGAAATTTAGAGTGGATACTTGGTCTAGTCCTTGGCTCATTAGAGAAGACCAGGAAAGTCAGTGAAGGCAAAAGGCCTGGGTATACAGACCAGTGATGGGAGGCGAGGTTTGAACCAGGACAAAAACTGAGTCCAAAGAACCACCTTTGCCTATTGTCATAGGAAAATGACGGACTACAGAGGCACCACAATCAACATTATTAATAGTAGTATTAGTAGTATATTCACCTAGAAGCAGTGATGAGACTCTGGTAACACAGAGCCCAGTGAAAGCACCTGAGCAAGGCTCCCTAGCAAAGAAACAAAGGAGAAGAGGACAGACTTGGATGGGGCACTGAGGAATAGAAAACACACCAAACTGGAGCTTCCTGTCCCTGTTAGAACCCTCAAAGCTGACACATGTACT